TTGGCTTGTAAACCATAGGTAGTAACTTTCAGCTATCCATAAACAGATCATGACCCTGTTTCCTGCTCACTTCCTTATGCATTTAGCTGCCCATTGCCTAAATGCCGTGCATCAGTCTGTGTTGAATAGCCTTTATCATTCCCTGTAACCAGAGGAGTCTGAGAACAGTGTGCTTTCTTTTCAAATGGAGCTGTGTTGCTGGGGGCGGGGGGGGGCAGGCCGGGGAGGGGGCGTGGAAAGCCTTGATTTCCCGTTCTGGAAGAAGATGAAGCAAAGCTTAATTATTCAGTAGGACAGAGGGCATTTTGATGGAGGGAACATATCAGTGGTCATGGCTACTGGAAAAAATGTCTCTTTAAAGCATTTTATGACCTGGTTTTTACTGATTAAACACTATTAACTTCATTATTAAATACTGTTTAATAAGCTACTTTTACTGCACCAGAGGGTCAGTATCAGCCTCTCACATCTGTTCCAATAGAGCAGTTCTTTCTCTTTTCTCAGTCAGTTATCAAATGCCCATGCACACTATTTTCAGGTGCTGCTAAGATTTCTTTACATGTACAACAAAACAGAAGTATGTTTTAAGGTTCGGTACTGGCTTCAAAGGCAACTGCACACGGACACCAGAGAGCAAGTTTTCTTTAAATCTAGTCTTTGTTCTCACAGAAGTGATGAAGTTCCTCCACAGAATGTAGCTGCCTGAGGGTGGGTGCCGAGTCTTGATCACATCATAGAAATAGTGTAATTTTTGCTGAAAACCAAATATGTAGAGTGGCTGGGTAGAGTCCATTCTGTCATAGAATACAATGTTTTTATAGCTATGGACCTTCCATCCTAAGCTAAAGGAGGAGCTTTAACAGTGTTTGAAATAAGACCCCCTAACATTTAGGCAGTAAAAGTCAGGTAAATTCTACCTCACTGAGGGTTTTAAGTGATGTCAGTATAAGGATTTAACCCTTCACAAGTTGTCATGGTTTAAGACTTCCACAAAGTGAGAAGAAACCTGCTTCTCTTTGCTGCCATGTAATTCATAGCCATATGCTCTTGCAATGTATGAGGGTTTGTTACCTCTGTGATCCTTCAAGTTAGCGTAAGTTAATGGAAAATGTATCGGAGAAAGGAGAACATTATGCCCTTGGGCCTTTCCAGAAGTGAGGGTTTATCTGTTCCTTAGAAGTGCCCATTTGTGCTTTCAGTCATGCAGCCTTGGCCTTACTTCAGAAGAGAGCGTCTCAGGCTACACCAGCAATCCATCTCTTGTTCAGCAGAGCATCTGTTCTGGTGACAAGTTCCCCACCTTGCTCAGGGCACTGTTGTTAAGGGCTACTTTCTTACGGCTTGCCTTGAAATGATATCCCATGTCAACTTGCTCTATCTCCAAAGCCATGCAGCCATGCTCTCTGATCAATTATGTCAGTCCCTGAATGTGGTACTCTGTACATAGTGCTTTGACATCAGGCACTTGAATTGCAGATACCATCTCAGATTTTATAGCTAGCAAAGCTCCCTCTGAGCTTCATTACCACAGCCAAAAGAGCATGCTTTTTGTAGCTTTGCTCACTCTGGTCATGAGAGGACCAGATTTTTGTGACCAGCTAGTGGCTAAGCCTCATGCCTAAGCAGAGTTTCAACTGACATTTGCTAGTGCCTGGGATTTTCAAAGATTCTCTATTTGTCCCATCTTTTTTTCCGGTGCTGGAGATAACATGTACTTCTACAGGCATGATTTCTCCTGGCTTTCTGGCTTTATTTGCAACTATGTGACATGGGCAGGAAACACGCTTGCTAAAAGGGAGCAGAGGATTCTTGTGAGCCTGTGGGTGTTCTCCAGAGACACCAGAATGACCAGGATGGGGCTTTCCCCATTGAGGAAAGCAGATGCGCTTCCTAGGGCAGCTGAAGCAACACTTTGCTGGAGCAGCATCCCAGATGCATTTCTGGGCAGCTCCATGGACAAGCACATGCCCTACAGACAGGTAGGATCTGTCTCTGCAGCATGGATGCTTTTGCAATGTGCTGCTGAGAGTGAATCCCCACACGCTCGCTCCTTCCTTCCTCTTGACCTGTGGCTCCACAACTCCATGGAGCCTATCCACAAAACTTGACATTCAGTCAGTCTAGAGCTCGTTTGTCTTCTGCTGTGATTGTGGGATCACACACGTGGGTGCTTTCTCCTAGCCCTTCCTGAAACAGCACTGTGTAAACTCTTTGCTATAAATGGAGGAGCAGAGGGCTGGAAAGAGGGGTGCATGTCCTGCCTTCTTACCTCCTTCCCTTCACTTCCTTCCTCCAAATCTCAAACCTAAATCTTTGCCACACCATCTACCCCCTGCAGCTGCTGATCTGATAGATAAGAAATAGGTATTTAGTATTGACATCCACACAGTGGCAATCTGAAGGTAAACTGGGACAGTTTCAAACTACAGATCCAGGCAGTCTAGAAAGGAATTTGGACCAAGACCTAAGTGTTGTAGCTCAGTCTCACCTTTGATAGACTGACACTCAGAGATTCCCCGTCAGTGGCTCGGAGGCACTTTAATAATCTAGTCACAGAAGTCAGTAGGGACATGTAGGATGATGCTAAACTTGCCAGCCAACGGAGGTTATTTTTGTTTGGAAACAGAGCAAATGTATTCTGATTTCATAAAGTAAGAACAAAGTCTCTTTGAGCGTATCAGTGAGAGTGCATATCTGGTGAAATGAGGATATTAGCGTGGCATTATTTGAACAAGAGTGTCAGGACAAAGGTCTTTCACTTTGAGTAATCCTCCCTGATGTTTACATATGCATCCAAACAGGGAAATCCTATTTTGAAATTGGCACCTTTACCTATAGCATGAATTTTAAATAACTAGTTCCCAAAGTTCCATGTGTCCCACTCTCTCCACCAAAAACCCCCACAAACAAACCCCCAAACCAGTGAAATAAAAAATAACAACTCTGCATTCTCATTGCCCCACAATGCCACCACTGGAAATTCAGCCATTTGTTCACATGGTATGTATTCATAGTCCGACGGGGGTGGGAAAGATTCTCCCTTTTCTTTATCAAAGGCCCTTGTTTTACCTTTTACTTTTGAAAAGAAGAATGAGCAAAACAAATGCTTTTTATGATTGTGTGTTTTTTTCCCCGTTTTGTTTTGGTTCTGTGTTAAGAATGCTTTAACCACCAGCTGCGGGCACCCTCTAGGGAGTCCAAAATCCCTTAGAGCACCTCAAAACATAAAAATTTCCTCAAACACTACTGAAAACAACCCCTCCCAAACTGCATGTATGCTCCCTTTTGCCTCCCATGATCTCTTGATATTTGTGCTATAGCGGATTTATCCCTCTTTCTATCTCTCTTTCTCTGTTGTGTTTTGGTTTTTTTAATTTCTTTTCAGTGTTGATGCAAATGCCCTATTGTATTCCCCCTCCGTTCTAATCCAGTTTCCATGTTCTCTGTGATGTCTTTCCTTATCTTCATTTCCTCATTTCCTTCCTCTGCTTTCCATCAGCCTCCAAAAAAGATTTGGGATTATACTCCTGGAGATTGCTCTATCCTTACTAGAGAGGATAGAAAGGTAATTGTGTCTCACATTGTACTACAGCATCTAGCGTGTATGTGTGTGTGTGTATGTGATTTTCTTTTTTTTTTTTTTTTTGGTAGTTTTGTTTGGTTTTTGTGTGCTTGGGAGTGTTTTTTTTTTTTTTTTTTTTAATTGGGCTTGAGCTCATTAGCCTAACAATTAAGTAGCTAGTAAATTGATTTAATAAACAATTCTTAAAGCATAATCAACCATAATTTAGAGTGGTGGTTTTGCTATCTTGACTTGCAATGATGATTATACTAACAGCATATTGCATATTGTTACAGTATCTTTTTTTTTTTTACAGGTGGGTTTTATAACTTTATGGTTTGTAGACTTAGATTCTAGCAGACCTGTGCATCTCTTAATTTTGAATGTTAAATGCCTAAAACTATTTCCTCTGTAATGATTGAAACGTGATTAATTACTAGTGAATTTCTGTGTATTGTCCATGCCATCTTTGTCTTTTGATTAAAAAGTCTCGCTTTTTTTTTTCAAAATTAACATTCCTTTGGTTTCCCCTAACCCTAAGCATTATTTTCCCATTCTTCTTCTCCTCCTTTAACCAGACTGATCTAGAAAAAGACCTCTACCTCTACCAGACTGAGTTAGAGGCAGATTTAGAAAAAATGGAGAAGCTTTATAAAGCGCCACATAAAAAGACACAGAAGGTATTTCCTATTCTTTTCATGCTGCCAATCCCTGTTTCCAAACTCTCTGCTCTAATCTGTTCACTGCTGGATGATTATTAAATGAGGTTGGGATAAATAATGGTTCTGACTGCATGGCTTGCTGTGTTGCTGTCAGAAATAATACAACGTGATGCTGAGAATCCGGCTTGAAATCCATTTCAGATACAGTTGATTTCCTCTCTCCCCCTGTTCCCTTTCAGCTGCCCCCACCCCCACCCCTGTCCCCCTTTAGGGTTTTGAGTTCAGTGTCTGCAGAAAAACCCTCTCTATTTTTCACATGAATAGGCAGCAGCAATCAGCTTAAAATTCTTGGTTGGCATCACGTCATCATCTCGTGCCTTTCAAGCGTGTTGCCATCTACCTCCCTTCATACAAGCCCTGCTCTCTGCTAGGAGCTCACGCCTACCCAAGATTTGGATATTCCCAAGAGATTTGACACAATTTTCCTTACGCTGCACCTTGCTATGGCCTGCTAGGGCAGGTCAGCTGCTGCTGCTGTTTCGAGACTCTGATTAATTTGGTAACATGCCTTTTTTTCTGGTTTTTTTACTGTTGATTTTTTTTTTTTGGAGGTGTGGCATTTCACCAGGACTTGAAAAAGCTGCTTTTTCAAACCCAAGATTTGCTTTTTCTTCCCACATAGGAATCCCCAGATAGATGAGGGGACACCAGATAGAACCTTTCTTCTAGAATTGCCTTCAATTTTTTAAATAATGTACCTAGGAAGTGTTAGATGGATTTAAAGCAAGCGGATGAGAACTGGCTTTTGCTATTGAACCTGTGCAGCTGGCATTGCTTCTCTTGAGTAAGGAAACTGAACTGAAACATTGCTTTTCTTGTTAGTGCTTTGATATTTTTTTGAATGCTGAGGAATGTTTTGTGCTGCAGAAACATAATATACCTTTAAAGCAAAGGTGGGCAGTGACTGGTTGGGGGAAAAGCTTGAGGAAATAATTATAAGCATGAGTCTCCTGGTCATGGCCCAGCTGGTTATCTCTTCTTGCTTTTGGCTTCATTCACAATTACTCATTTGCAGACAAAAGAATAGGTGCTGCAAAAAGACATCGGCTGTGCTGAAAACCTGTCACTGCCCTGAAGGAACTCAGGAGAATTGTCGCTTTTCTGCAAAGACATTGGCAGCTTAGATTGCATTTAGACTTAAACTGCAATGTCTCCTAAAGCCTTAATACTCAAGCAATAGATGGAAAATTATTTAAGCAAGCCTTGTTCTTTCTCCTCACATATAAGTGTGTATCAATGACTCCTTTGTTTGGACTTTTGCAGAATACAGCAGGTGTTACTCCGCTGGAAACTTCCACAGACCATTCTTCCTAGTAAGTTTTCCAATTGCTTTTTCATGTCTCTTTTACAATCTGAGGGCATGTAGGACAGGGTTTTGGGCATTGGAAATGGGTTGGCTTTGTCTTTTGGTGATGTATATAGACAAATGCATGTACCATGAAAATTATACATGTGCTTTAAATAAGTCCGGGTACAATGTCTGCTCCTTGATCTTGAATGAACTTTGGAGTGATTACATGAGTGATTGCATTGTCTAGATAAGAATTGCTGATTGTGTTAGGTAGTGACTTTTTTAAAAAAACAAAAACAACAAAAAACCCACAAACAAACAAACAAAAACACCACCAAAAAAACCCACACACCGGACCTTTAACTCCATCTTGATGAAGTTTGCAAATTGACTGTAACTTCGTGCAAGTAACTTCATTGTGTGGAATAAACAAAGTTTATTTCTGTTACATGCATATGATAGATTGGCTCCTGTTAGATATTCCCAGTTACGTACACCAGATCAAAAGGATGCTGTTGATAGAAGGCAATAATTTTCTAGCTTCCAGGAAGGGAAGAGTGGTGGCAGTAACATACTTCTCAAAGATCTAATGTGGCACTCTTTTTCCGGAGGAGTATGTAATAAACAGTATACTCTGTCTAAATGAATTGTATATGGAGCTGGTTTGTTTTAAAAGAGGGACACAAAAAAAGGAAATCCAGAGCAAGATGCTGAGCTGTGCTGAGTTACTCGTGCTGTGGAGCCAGCTCCTACTGTGAAACTGCTGCTCCTTGTAGTTGGACTGAGTGCTTAACATTGTCTGTAGGCACAGTGATCCTCTCTGCGTGGATGGTTTGTTAAGAAAGGCATGTTCTTTTCCAGATGCCCATTAATATCACGTGTTCACTGCCCTTCCAGGGCTGCCTTAGAGGTCTCCTGTACTTCTTTCAACTGAATTCCCTTCTGTCTCTATTCATTCTGCTGGGAAACTTGCACACTCCTGCATTTTGTTGGTTATTCCTGTTGACTGTTTAGTATTGTTTTGCTAGGGAGAGGGCTATAGAATAAACTGAAATCTCAGAGATTAACATAAATAGCTTATATTTACCAAAGACTGGTAAGGTTTCTGCCTGCAGCAGCACTGTGTGTACCCTTTCTGATGCCAGCCAAAGCATGCAGGAATGTCAGTGTTTGAGCCAGTGGAGGAGGAGCAACCTGGGTAGGCTGGGAACGGGACACAACAGCGAGGCCCCATGGAGTCACACGTTCTTCCCTGCCCTGCCTTTCCAGAGCAGGGAGAAAAGATACCTGGATTTTATTGTCTTTTTTGCAGTGTTCACCTGATTCTGTTCTTGCAGACTGCTTTGACCCTAATACACTACTGCTTGCTGGCCCTCATAAGGAAGCAACTGGTAAAGGGACTGGGCTAAATGCTTCCTCTCTGTCCTCCAAGTGTATTCCCAAAGGAGGATCATTTTAATCCTTTGGTTTTTAACTACTAGGCTAAAATGCTTTTACCTCCCAGGTGAGGAACCTCAGGGCCGTCATTATTCCCTGCAGCAACTAGCAGGGCGTCCTCAGGAACCTGAATAAGAGAGGCACTGGGATAACCCCCATAAGACACAGCAGCTCTGTAGCTATGGGTCTGCTTGAGCATTGCCTAGGTTGAAAAAGTGACAGTATTCCCTTTCTCTTTCATGGTGCTTTTCATGAGCTTTTACTCCAGAAAGTAGTTTATGGGACTGTGTGTGACCTGGTTTTCCTTGTCTGGAAACTGAAATCTTTTTTGTGATCCAGACATTGTGTAATTCCACCTCCATAGCCAGTCCTCTGATGTGTTTGAAAGCTTTCTCTTTACTTCATAAGTACAGCGTCTATCCAAAATAAACAAATACATGTACAAATTTATCCGCAACAAGCAGGCATAACCACAAGCATTTCCACACTCACATAAATTTGAATCACTCCTGGACATCAGGATGCAAAAACTAGCTTTGAAGATGTTTCCATGAATTGGCAAATGCCCTATTTTTTTTAATTTTTTTTCAAACTTTCCAGCAGTCATGCTTTGGCCGCAGAATAGCTTTGTGTGAGACTCCATCTTATTCTGCAGAGCCTGGTTGAGCACAAGAACTGGTATCAGATGAGCTTAGCTTTTAGGAAAACATTGTGTGCCTGATTGCTCAGTAAGTCTTTTGTACCTGGAAAGGCTGGTTTTACTATAGCATTGTCAGTTATTTTTTTTTAGAGATAAAGTAGTGTGAAATCTAGAAATCAGACGTGGGGCTATACTTGGGCTTAGATTTGTGACTGAGGAAAGGGATTTGTAATAAATGTCCAGTCTTTAAAAGCCTAAGAAATTAAAATTATACTCATTTTAACAGCATTTTGTTTATATATCTGCATGGTAGACCTAGAGTCTAGGATTTTTCATTCCCTGTAGTGGAAGCTTTAGGCAAAGCTAAGCAGAACTGTGCGCATCTGGGAGTTTCTTTCTCATTTAAAACAGTAGTGTTTATAGCCCCATGCTATTGCTTCTCTGCATGGTCTCTCACTGATAGGCTTCAGAAATTGCTCTGGGAGTCTTGAACTATAGTGTTAACTGGGAGGCTGAACTGGTTGAGATGAACCTCTGAGCAGCTGTACTTTGTAAGCAGGGAACAGGCATGGCTAGTGTTTAAGGAGAGAGGACTGGGAGCTGGAAGATATTTGTGGTACTTCCAGCTAGCCAATGAATTTCTTTGTGTCTGCAAAGAAATCTTGCATCTGCTCTGTGACTCTGTTGTCTCATCTATAAAAGAAAAGAGGAGTGTTTTCCTGCTGCCTGTTTTCTGGGGGACTGAGCTGGGAGAGTTCCCTCAGGTGGCGAACGCAATGGTAGTGCCAAACCTAGAATGTTGTTACAATGTATTCATAACCTCTTCATTCAGCACTAGGTCTTCATACATAGTCTATTATGTGTTCACAAGTATGGTTTTCTCTTACTTCGCATGAAGTCCTCAGCAAACAGAAGTGACCCACTGGTGTGTCTCCTACTCTTTTGTGTTTTCCAGCTCCACATATTCACCCAACTACCATGCAGTGAAGAGGGAGTCAGAACCAGCACTGGGGGACCATGCTGGCTTGGAGAATGAAAGGCAGATTTACAAGAGTGTATTGGAAGGTGGAGATATCCCATTCCAGGGGCTGAGTGGTCTCAAGCGACCTTCTAGCTCTGCTTCCACAAAAGGTAGGTGCTCAGGGCATTAACCTCTTCTCCATTCTGTACGGAGTGTCAGAAGCTAGGTGATATGGGGCAAACTGCTGCAGGGTTTAGAGTCCTATTCAAGCCAGTTGAGGTTTCCTCTGTCCTTCCTCTTTGCCATCCCCAGTTTTCCCTCCTTTTTTTTCTCTCAGACCATACTGGCCAATATTTTTCATGACACCTTTACCTGATCCAGGTTCCTCTTCCCAACAGGGACCAGCTCCCTCCATCCAGCACCTCAGCCACACCCCACACCCTCATGTTATCCCTCGAGGCTGCACAGGCCTATCCATCTGCTCCCACTGCCTTGCCATGCTAGAGCCCTTCCCTGCCTTTTCTGCTCTTCCTGCTGTGGCATCTCAGCAGGCCACACCATGTCTTCTGGCCTGGCTACCCTGGTGTAGCAGGTGCCATGTGCTCCACAGCCTTCTGCCTGCGAGGGGAGTGCAGAGAACGCATGGGGCACTGCACCAGCAACGCCTTGCGGGCTCTGAGACAGTGAGGCAACAGAGACCCTGCATCTGCTCCCCCTTTCTTCCCCCTATCGTGGACTCTCTAGAAGATTAGGACAAGGAATAGCCTGACTCCCACCAGGGAGTTGTGTTGGGGAATGTATCTTTGAGCCAAATTCAACCTAAAAATGGCTTGAGATGGGGTGAGGACTGGGAAAGAAATGCGTTGGGTTTCTGAACTGCTCTCCCTAAAAATAGTACATCACACCAAAAAGGTCTCTCCCTGTTTCCGTCTTCCAGCTGTTTTTCAGCACTATGTCAAGCCTGCAAGGCAGGGAGTCAAACTGGATCTGAACAAAAAAATCTGTTCAAACAGTTATTGTTCCCCAAACTGCAATTGAGCCTGAATGGTTATTTCAACATTTGGGTTTGGACTCAAATCCGAAACAGACCTAAAAACTGCAGTTGAAGCTGAACCCAGACTGGATCTGACTTTAAAAAAAAAAATAATGTCCTCATCTGACTCCTGGATTTTTAAAGCAAACATGGCGAACCATATTGTCTGAAGGACACTCAGCTTATTCCTAGTACGGGGAATCTCTAAGCAGGCAGCTGATGTGGCCTGCTTCTGCTAGCACAGTCAGCTGCCGATTGTCGTCTCCCTCCCAGGAATAAACTGTTTGGCAAGCACTGTGGTGAGACCGTAGTAGGTGTGATTACAGGCTTGGTATTAAGCCATTTTTGCAATGTTCGTGCCTATGCATTCTTGCTGACATCCTGATCCTGCCCAGAGTTCAGCTACCCTTTTCCATGGTGCTGCAGCTTTCCTGGAAGCTGATGATACTTAGCACTTTTTAGGAGAGTACCTTCAAAGTGCTCCAGACGTGCTTCTGGCCAAGCCTCTCATTTTAGAGATGTTAGCAGCACTTCACCTACTCCTGTTAAGTGCGGCTTGTTGTGCAGTTTCTTCCTGCTTTTCTTTATGTTTTGGAACTTTGTTTCTTTAAAGTGCATTTTATGAAATCCAAGCATGTTCTTTCTCCTTTCTCAATAGCTTTCTAGCACTTAAGCTAACAGGTTGTATTTATTTTATTCTGCATGCTTACCAGTGGATCGTAAAGGTGGGAATGCTCATATGACTGCACCCTCTTCAGTTAATAGCCGAACCTTTAACGCTAGTCATACTGGTATGTTAGGTCACGCATGTAAACATAAGAAGCCCTTGTCAGCTGCAAAAGCCTGCATTACTGAAATCCTCCCTTCTAAATTCAAACCCAAACTAGCAGCTCCTGCTGCTCTTGTGCAGGACAAGAAGGGTATCTTGCTGTCTCATGAAAAAGCTCAAAGCTGCGAAAACCTTCGTAGCTCCATTGCCTTGTTTGATAATAAAAAAGCTTTCATAGTAGACATAGGGGAAAGCATAGAAAACATGTTGATGAAGTCAAAGCAGGAGTATGCCATCAAATCCGGCAGTACCATGAGCCTACAGGAGTACGGCATCAACTCTAGGAAAGGCTACCTGTTCCCTGCCTCCAGGAAGAGTGGGTTGGAGTTTACAATGCTGTATAAAGACATGCACCAGATCAACCGGTCCAGGATCCATTTGGGCACAGTCTCCTCCTGCAGCGTGAGGGATATTGCATCTCAGTTTGAGAATGAAGCAAAGGACAGGATGGAACACAGCCTTAGTCGAGAGGATTCGGAACAGATCCCCAAACACACAGTTTCCTCCCGTATCAGTGCCTTTGAGCAGCTGATACAGAGATCCCGATCAATGCCCTCGCTTGACTTTTCCACTGGGCAAAACAAATTCACCACTTCTCTTCAGTCTAAAACTTGTCTGAGTTCTGCCTACTCTGCAGAGTTTCTTCTGGATTTGCCAAAAGCACACCAAGAAGAGAAGGATGCTGCCAGCTTGGCAGATAAATCCTCCCATTCCTGCAGCAATGTGGAGGACACGGCTTCAGATGTCAGTGATGCCATCCCTATGGACACACTTTCAGCTTGCACAGATGAGGTAGATCTTCTCTCAAACGCATCCAATGACAGCGGCAGCAGCAGCAGCAACCTCAATGGGCCACAGAAGCATAAAATCAACAGATGCAAAGGCACATGCCCAGCTTCCTACACCAGGTTCACTACCATCCGAAGGCATGAACAGCAGCAGGCTTCCAGGAACCCCGATTCCAAAGGCGATGTCTATGGGGACAGACATGTGCTCCCCAGAAACGTCTACCTAATGAGTCCACTCCCCTTCCGATTGAAAAAGGCCTTCCAACACAAATCCTGCCGAACTCCACCCCCAGACTGCCTGGGAAGCCTGGCAGTGTCCAGCCCCGAGAACCCAGACGACCCCATACAGCTGCAGGGGAGCACAGGAGACAAGAGTCACCACTCCCAGCACCAACTGTGCTCCAGAAGCAGGCCTCTAGCCCCCAGGCGCCTGTCTTCCTTTGACATTGTGGAGAGGCTTAGCTACTTCCCCACCATGGGATCTAGCCGAGATAGCTTCGTGGGCCGGGCTGACACTCCTGACTCCTTAAACAATGGGAACCCTGTTCCATATGCCCTCTGTCACAGCCTGGACACAAACAACAACCCGCAAAGTGAACTTGGGACGTACCTAGGAGGTGGCTTTTTGTGTTCTTTACCGGTGTCCCTTCATCTGTCTTCTTGCTTCCTTTCTCCTCCCCTTTTCTTCCACAACCCTTGCATTTTGCTCCCCACCTTGTTATCCCCTGACTCTCTCTGTTTTTACCCTTAGTGTGTCTAGTGTCCTTTGCGTGTGTTGCTGAGCATTTTTGTTCAGGACTTGTTAACAGCTGCACTTCTGAGAAACAATTTCCGCTGCCTTTCTAATCGCATCGGGTTCAGTTTGTCTCTCAAGCAACTCTGGGGATGCAGGAATCTCAACATGAGATATTTCTAGCCCCATATCATTTGCACACATGGGAATATAAACCAAACCCAGATGATTTGCTTTAAGGAGCAGTTTCTCAAGGTCTAGTTGTGTGCGTGTGTATTAAATTTTTCTCAACAGTAAAATGCCAACTCATACTTTGATGGCAGCAAATCTTTCCTTCACAAAGTCCTTCTATGTCTTTACACTTTCCTGTACCGTCATTTTCTCCCTATTTTGGGCTCTTTGTTCAAAGAGTTCAGCCCAAAAGGGAAAAAAATGAAAATGGGTAAATTATTGATATCTGATTGGCAATTTGTTCAATGGCAATTGAGAATCCTTACTGTCATAACAGAAGCCAATTCTTTGAAAGTATCTATTTTTTTCCTCTCTGGTTATGCTAGATGAATCCATCTGTATTTTAACTTCCTTATGTTGTTTTGAAGTAGATTCAGAATCACCAAGGCACTTTGCACCAGCTGATTACATGGAAACTCCAGAAGAAATCATCCGCAGACGACATGACGATAAAGAGGTAATGCCCTGCTTTATGGCCTAATAACAGTTGTAGCAGCTCCACATACAAGAAATATAGAATTCAGCCTTATATAAGGACAACTTGTATGTCCATGGCTATGTATGTTGGAATTTAGAGCAACAAGCTGGAACTAGCATGTTTTAGTTTTAATACTACCTCTGCCACTGATTTAACGTATAATGTGTATTCCAGTTTAGCCTTTTTTTAAAATGAACCTGGTAGTTCTTATCAGTTGCACAAAATGATGTATGGGGGCTTTAAAGAATGTAAAAAGTTTGGAGTTGTATGTGAGATGTGGTACAACACCCCAGTACTCGCAGATAAAGATGAAATGGTTATTCTGTAAGTAAGTTAAGGTTTTCTTGTTCTCCAGGCAAACCACTTGAGTTGGTATTAATCAAACTGGTGAGAACAGTATTTTTCTTGTGGAGGTCCTCAGGTTTTGAACAGCAAATGCAAGATATTTGAAGCCATCAGAAAGTGTGAGGTTTCCCCCAGTGCAAACTAGAACTCTTTATGATGTCTCAGGTTGTTGACAACAGAATGTAGCAGTCCTCTTTGAAATGGCTGGGCAACACTGGGACAAGCCGAAATAATAGGAAAGCCACATAGACTTTTCAGCACTGACTGTATTCAAGCTGAGTTAAAGAAATTATAAAGTGATTATTGCTTTCCAGGAAACGGGAATTAATTTTCAGTGCCAGGGGGTGGGGTGGGGTGTATATTTTTAGTGTTTACATTATTTGCACTCTGAAAGTTTATGTATGCTTTGAAATATGGTAAAACCTGCTACTAATTCCTATGTGAAAAAAATATTTTTGCTGTCTTCTCCTGTGAAACAGTTAGTAATACCCCCACTTCCAAAATCCAGCATGAAAACTCATGTAAGAGCAAAACTGTGAATTCACTAAGACCTGCTGACTTCAAATGAGTTAGCAAAGAGCTGATCTCTTCAGCCTACAGTTAGCCCCCAAAGGTGGAAGAATCCTTCTGCCCAGCTACTCAAGAATGCACGTTTCCAGTAGCATGCCAGAGACTTCAGAAGTCCAAAATAATTCTTTGGGGTTTATTTATTTTACAAAGTGTATTACGTGAGCCCAAAGGAAGTATGGGAGAACCTGATACTGAAGGTGGTTAAGCAGTCTCCCAAGCTCCTTGCAAAGCTCAGGGGAGTTTGTTGCCTCAGAACTTACCTGTGAGGCTGATTCAGGACTCTTGGAAGTCAATGAGAGAAAATCCTTGTTGGTTGAAGGGGGTTTGGATCAGCCCTCTGCATTATCAGCAATCTTAGAAGCTCCTGGGACCTGGCCAAAACTTAGAAAAATTGCTTGTTGACTTCCATCGGCTTTGGATCAGATCCTCTGTATGAGCTGGATTACAATTATGTCATAATGGTGATGTACCTTCTGTGCTTGCAAAATGAAAAGGTATTGTGTAGTTAGTAGAATCAGTATTTTATGTTGAACTGTAAAATCCCAGCTATTTGCTGGGACCTCAGAAATTTTGTTTAAGTCACATTTATGGCAGCTTTTGAATGCCTTTAACTAGATGATTTACTGCCCATTTTATGCAATTTTATGGCAGAAACTTTTAGAGGACCAGAGACGGCTTAAACGTGAGCAAGAAGAAGCTGATATTGCAGCTAGAAGGCACACAGGGGTTATTCCAACGCACCATCAGTTTATCACTAATGAGCGATTTGGGGACCTCCTAAATGTAGACGATACAGCAAAGAGGAAATCTGGGTCAGAGGTCTGTTTTAGTTACCTCAGTCTGCTGCTTGACCCGAAGCAATATTTGCCTCTCACAGTTGTGCTTTAGACCGACATTAGCTCTTCAGAGAATGTCGTTTCTTTTTTTGTTGTGGTTTTTGTTGTGGTTTTTTTTTTCCCACCCTCCCGTTTCCCATTCTGGCTTCATTTAGATCTGCTTTGACTCTTGTGCCTGGTAAATTAATTGATATCTCTATACCAAGCTGCATATGTTAAAGCATGCCTGCTGAGAATTGCTGGTGCACACCTGTGATGCATGCCTTTAAATATCAGCTACTTTTAGTGAATCAGAGGCATTCTACATCTTTTGCATCATATTGCTACATTGTCTTCTTGTCTGTGCCTTATGCTTAGAAACTTCATGTCTTATTGATCCTGACCATGTGACTGTCTCATAGTTTTTTAGAAATAGATTGTTTCTTCTGCTCTTTAAAGATGCTTAATGTCCTTTAGAAACAATTGGAAAAAAGTCTCAGCATGTTTAACTGCGTATGACCTGGACGGTCTCTCTGAAAGAGACAAAGGAGGAGGTAGATGGTTTTCCCATGAGCCCAAGGCACTTTTCCCGAGGGCTGGATGGTAGTCCAGGTGTCCTGGCCAAATGTTTTTTCCTGCATTGGGGATTGCTGCTGGGGCTCTTGGCAGCGACTCTGTTTCCCCAGAGGTGCTGCACTGCGGCAGTAGGTGAGGTGGTCACCATGGGGATGGCGTACACTTGTCTGCCCTTTGTGTAGTTTCAAAAGCTCTGGTGCCACATGAATGTGACTACTTATTTTATGCTCTATTACTGAAATTACTTTTAAATTGTCTGAATATTTTGTGGCCATTAGAAAATCAGCCAAGTAAATCAAGCTTTAAAGCCTAGGCCTGCTATCCACATCCTTTGGCTTTATAGCCACTGAAGATGTTTTTTTAGACGCATGCTGAATTTATTCATACTTCCTCCTCACCTTTGTCTCCTTCCTACCAATTTATACAGACTACATGGGTCACACTGAAGGATTCAACAGGGCCAGGTAATAATCAGTAAGAGCCACATCAAATAAAATCCTACGGGTTTTTTCCCAGCTAGTAAATTTTGCTTTTCCATTCACATGTTAAGGGACACTTGGTCCCAGAGCCCCAGTAACTGTAGTTACTGGAGCAGCTTTCATTCAACAGGGTTTGTCACATTTAAAAGTTTACTGCTTTTAAATCCATTTCCTGTAGAGCTATTAATTACTGCTGTACCAGAAGTTGGCACCTTTTGCCCTGGTGGGAGAGACTAATCCAGCATATTTGGACTGTAGTACCAGTTGCATACAAACTTGTAGCAGAATACCTGCATTCAATTTCTTCCCCAGACTAATGTTAGCTGTAGAAGAGTTTGGGTGCTTTTCCTCAGAAGAGGGTTGAAAACCTAATTATTATTATATTAATGTATTGATTTTTTGATCTCTAGATGAGACCTGCTAGAGCCAAATTTGACTTTAAAGCACAGACACTAAAGTGAGTACAGCTTGTTACTACTACCTTGAGTGTTCTTTCTCTGCTTTTTCCCCTAGGATGCAGCATTTATGAAGTGTCATGCAACTGTTTTCATGTTTTGGGAGTGTCTTTCCAGCAGCTCAAAGCAAAGGTGTCCATAGTAAGACAAGGAAAAGTAATATAAACCTTGCAGGTCGTGGCCTTTAAAGGACCTGTAGGAAAATGTCATCTTTCTCAGTGCATCTGTATCCCATGTGATTTTTAGGGCAAACCTGCATTCTTTACCGGAACGAGTGAGTGCTGTGCTCTGAGGGTGGGTGAAGCCATGGGAAAGCACTTGGTCTGACGTTCCTTCTCGCACCTTATAAGCAGGATGGCTGGGTGAGACCTTTCGGCAGCAGTTCTGTCACTGCCCTTGTGCTGGAGATGGAAGGGATTCCCCTGCGTGACATCTCTGGTTGTGCTGTGATTTAGGGGCTAGAAGAACTGTGTTAGTCAGTAGCTCGCTGTGTAAATCTGCCATACAGATGGTTAGAAGAACATAGATAGCGGAACACCAGAATCCTTTTCACTGTGCTATGCATAGCCCAAAGTCAGCAAGGGACTTAAATGGATGCCTAGCTTTAAGCATGTGCATGGGCCCTTGACTCAGGATTTTCCTGAGTCAGGACCTGTAAGGCTATGTAGTGGTCACTGCTCCCCTGGCATCTGTGCATACACCAGCAAATGTTTCTGGTGGCATTGTTGTACCTCTGAACCCTGTTGTGGTCCCTTGGGCGAATCACAGAGCACTGGTCATTCTTTTGGGGGATCACTGCTGTGAAGAGAAAACCTGAAAGGCCTTTCCCTCTGCGTGAGCCTGGAGATGCTTTCATTTTAACACTGCTAGGCAGGGAAGAAAGAACAACAGAATTCAGTTGAAGGACCTGCTGTTTTTCTTCTCAGGTGCTAATGTCCTGGGAATATTTTTGTTATATGTTCTATAGGTGATGATTCGTAATGATTTACACAGCGTCACCCCAGCTCCTGTAATAAAACTGAAGCAGATGTAAGGTGTAACTGTTGTGTCCCTTGAGGAGAACATACCAGGGTGCCAGACAAAAGTAAAGGAGAGCTTGTGAAAATCATGTTAGGAAAGGCTGGGTTGTTTGTTTTCCTGTGGGGACCCAATTAGTAGGTTTATGAGCCTAGTACAAGCTGCCCACAGTGGGAGTTCCTCAAGCTGCAGACGTTCATAATTTTAGCACTGAAGACTGTAGATTGAAATCCCAATTGTTAGCCCAGGTGAGGTCAGTGATTGCATAACCGTAGGCTGACCGGAAGTGTAATTGTTGCAGGATCAACATTGGCATGTGAGGGGGGGGGGGTGTGTGTGTGTCATCTAATCAGCAGACTAGCTTCATTAAAATCATGTCTCTTTGGAAGGCACTTGTGACATGACCTGTTTCAGAACAGGAATTGAGTGCTGCTCACTATATCCAACATGGAAAGCAACCAGTGGCATCTTGTGCTTGAGCCCATTGCTGCTGGAGGGTGTGTGGTTAGTAGCGCCTTAATAGGCCAGCTTTTTTGACAGGATGCCCAACAAGCAAGAGGGTCCCTGCACATCATGATATGAACAGGATAATCGTCAACGTGTAGCTTTCACTTTGGGAGGAGCATGATTTGTACCAACAGGGCTGATGCAGACCTTGGTACCTAGAGATTGATGGACAGAAAAAGACCAAGTCTGTTCTCCAGTGAAGTTCTGATGGAGTGCTTGCATTATTAACAGGGAACTTCCCTTGCAAAAAGGAGATATTGTTTACATTTACAAGCAGATTGACCAGAACTGGTATGAAGGCGAACACCATGGCAGAGTTGGCATCTTCCCACGATCATACATAGAGGTAGCAGCTTTCCTTGCAGGTGTTCTCTTTGCCCCGCTCCCTTTCTGCCAGTTTATGGGCTTTTTGTATGTGACTCATTTGATTCTGTTTGTTCATTCTAGCTACTCCCACCAGCTGAGAAAGCTCAGCCCAAAAAGCCATCACCATTGCAAGTATTGGAATATGGAGATGCTATTGCTAAGTTCAATTTCAATGGAGATACCCAAGTGGAAATGTCCTTCAGAAAGGTAGGGCTTTTGTTGTGCTGATGAATTGAATCTAGACAAATGCTGAAGTTTTTTAACACTAGTAACTTGCAATTTCCAAATGAAAGCTCCAATAAGATGAACTCTATTCAGGAAGGATTCCTTCTCATCGTCCATGTTTTTACTCCATAATCATCATAGAATCATTATGGTTGGAAGAGACCTCAAAGATCATCAAGTCCAACCGTATACCCAATGCCACCATGCCCGCTAAACCCACTAAACCATGTCTTGAAGCACTACATCTAAATGTTTTTTGAACACCTGCAGGGATGGTGACTCCACCACCTCCCTGGAGAGCCCATTCCAATGCTTAACGACTCTGACAGTGAAGAAGTTCTGTCTGATGTCCAGCCTGAACCTCCCCTGGTGCACCTTGAGACCGTTTCCTCTAGTCCTATCGCTAGTTACTGGGGAGAAGAGACCAACCCCCACCTCACTACAACCTCCTTTCAGGTAGTTGTAGAGGGCGATCAGGTCTCCCCTCAGCCTCCTCTTCTCCAGGCTACCCAACCCCAGCTCCCTCAGCCGCTCCTCATAAGACTTGTTCTCCAGGCCCTTCACCAGCTTTGTCGCTCTTCTCCGGACACACTCCAGCAGCTCAATGTCCTTCTTGTAGCGAGAGGCCCAAAACTGAACGCAGTATTCGAGGTGCGGCCTCACCAGGGCAGAGTACAAAGGGATGATCACTTCCCTAGTCCTGCTGGCCACACTGTTTCTGATACAGTGTAGTGTGTAGTGCATTATGTAGTGCATTGCAGTGAGAGTGCTGCAGGTAGGCTGAATCAAGAAGGACCAATTGCTTCTTTAGGGCTAGCTGAGAAGATACTTTGAGCAGAAGTGCCTGAAGCCTGGCTCTGCGAGGCAAATTAGATATTTGGTGACATGTCTCCAGTGGAGATGCACACAGTCACATGAGAATGGCAATATAGAAAAGAAGGAAACTGTATTCACCTTCCTTCATACTATAAGCCAAATCATTCACCATAGGCAAGCAAGGTTCTGTGGTATTCAAGTAAATGTCTAGACCTGACTACAAAGTGGAAGGATAGGAATGGGTTGTGTAATGGCTGTTCAGAGCAAAGTCAGCCATATTTAGATTAAGTAGCAGCATTTCTCCATCTCAACCAGCTTTCTGTTTTGATGCTCAGATTAGATCTTGTCTGTTTTCTCTTTTAATTATACATGAAGGTGGGGCTTGCAGTTTATATTAAGGATCTGGAAGTTGCTTCACTTGTCACAAAAACAGAAGAGAGTATAGAGAGACTTGGTTTAAACTGCAGACCTGCACATACTCCTTGTACACCTCATACTTCTGAGAGTCTTCTGGTCAGCCTGAAACTGCAGGTTTCCATAGTTTTAAACTGGCTTTAGCAAGCAGGGTCTTGAAAACATGAGCATAACTGAGTGAACATAACTGACTCTGCAGACAACGCAAGTCAACACCAGAAGATCTGCATTTTCTCCTTCTGTGAACTGAAAAATATCATTCCTACTCGGCAGTTAGGGTTAGGACCTCATGACTGGGAAATAGGGGAGGCTGAGAGCCACCGATTTGTTTTAAGTCAGTTGCAGCAAGATTTAAAATGTAATCTTTTGTAATGCTTTGGAATGATGAAATATGTTAACGTCAGGACTATGTTACTATTCTTTCCCATAGGGTGAAAGGATCACGTTGATTCGACGAGTGGATGAGAATTGGTATGAAGGAAAAATCTCTGGCACCAGTCGCCAAGGCATCTTCCCTGTCACTTACGTGGAGGTGCTCAAACGGCCAGTGGTCAAGAATGCCATTGACTATCCTGAGCCACCAATGTCCCTCTCCCCTAACCGCAGCATGACAGCTTCACCACAGGTATTTGGACTAGATGCAGCCAGTTACAGCACCTTGCAGAACAGAGGGATGTTACCGCTGCTGTGCAAGAAGCAATAGCTGAAAAAAACCTGTAGCTAAGACTAGTGTCTTGCGCAGTAAAAGCCATGTGCTCCTTGCAGTATGCTGCAACTGCAGGAAAAGGTGATGTTTCGTGTACCAGAAAGGTTAATGAATGGGTCATTTGGGGGATTTGGAGACTCAGCTTTTAATCTCTGATCTGTAGCTTGAATTCAGGCCAGGTTGAAAGGGCTACAGTTCACAGTCATATGAATAAATTTCACTGCCAGAGATGGAATGAATTGGTGATCCAGCAACTGCCGAGTGCGTGTTTACATTTTACAGACCTCCACTGTGATGAGTGAATTTTTTATTATGACTATTGAAAGGGTGTCAGACTGTTCCAGTCTGTAAGAGTCAATATGTTGATCCCAGTCAGCTTTAATCAAGCTGTATACTTACTCTTGAATGTTCCAGCTTACAACCAAGGCTTTAGGAGACAGGGTCAGGAGAGTGGCCTGATTTATTTGAAATTGATGCTAAATGATCTGAGGTTTTAAGAGCAGGCCAGTCTGGGATCTTTTGTGAATATTAGATTCACTATAAACCATACTGCAGTTCAAAACAGAAATAAAAATTTCTGGTAATTAGCAGCAGGTAATTGTATAGGGATCCCAGGATGTTTGTCATGGAAAATGTATCAGGGAGGCAATGGGTCTCTAAATCCCTTTGTTTTGCTCTCATCCTGCAAATACTCATGCTTGAAGGTCAGCACACGTGTCTGGGTCATGGCCATGATGTTCTGGTGCATCCCCCTCTCACCCACGGGACAGAAGCAAGGTCATTCCGAAGTCAAGACTGCAAGGAACAAAAGTGGAGAATTGGGATTGGGAGGAAGGGATATACAGTACAGGATGGATGGGAAAGGCTGCTGTGGCTCATGCCTGGTGTCTGGATCTTCCCTAAAAGGAGTGTTTTTATTCTTAACCACTGTGTAAAGAGGAAAGACGTGTTGCTTGTTTGAGGTTCCCTGTCAAAGCGGACCTCAGATGAGCTTTTCTGTTTGAGCTTGGCAGTCTCTCCGTAGCTGTGGTCTGTCTGCCACCAGCTCTCTGGAGGCTTCTACCTTTTGATGGAAGGGATCATATCTACCCTTTTTTGGTTTCCATTGCTATTCTTTTGATTCCCTCTAGTAAACCAATTCTCTTCCTTACTTTTTTGCCTAACTTTATGGAGTACTAAGAAACAGTCTGATCAGTGCTACTGTAGCTGATGTCACTGATGGTAATAGCTAAGGGCAGAGCTTGGTTGTGTGTTCTGACTTTATAAATGTAGGACCTACTTTAATCACCTAAAGACCAGATAGCCACAGCTGGCTTTTTTGATCCCTTTCTCCTGCACGGCTTCAGCAATGCAAGTTTCTTGGGGAGCAGGCATTGCTCGTGCTAGAGTTGGATAAAGTCAAAATTCATTGCAGCAGTGAATTCTGACTAGATCCACAGTGTGAGCTGCTAGGGACCCAGCTATTAGTGCCAGGCCAGTCAAGTGCTGCATGCTGCCACCGTGGATAGTGGCTTCAACTGCTCCCTGAGGGAGTTAGGGCATTTGGCATGAAGCCTAAGGTCTTCCACAAGACGCTTTGTGTCTGGGATCCTGGCAACGGCTGGAGAAGGGTATTTGTAGCACCGCTACAGACTGGACTCGGTGGTTGGAGTAGCTGCGGACAGCACATTTTTCAACACGGTGTACCTGTCCGTGGAAAACTTACGCACCATGCTCAGTCACAGATCTACTCCTCTCCACACTTGCTCTCTTTCCTTTTACTTGGTCGTTTTGTAATTTCCTTTATTATTTTTTGTTCATTCCTTTCTTTTTCTCTCCTGCTTTTGTCTCCTTCAAGTCTCCCAGCTCTGAACTGCTCCATACACCAACTCCTCCGCCTTTGCCTTTCGTGCGCCGTGCCTTATCTCCAGAGGTGCAGGCGGTCACGTCTGAGTGGATTGCTCTGACTGTGGGAGTGTCTCCTAGCACCACTCCTGCCATAACTCCTCCATTGCCTCCTCCGCCTGAAGCCTCCCTCTCTCACACTGACTATCTTTCGCCTTCTGCTGCAGCCAGCCCTTCCCCCACGGTCAGCCTCCACCATTCTCATCTCTCTGGCTCCTCGACTCCCAGGTCCTTTAAATCCCCATTGCCCTCTTACTCATCCAGACCTCAGTCCTCCACTCGCAGTTTCTATCAGGCCACTCCGCAAAGCGAAGAAAAGTTTGTTGGCTCCCCTTCTCCCAGCGTGAGCTACTCTAACTCCCCTCGCTGGGCAGTGGAGACCCCTGAAAGCGTCCTCGCAGAGCAGCATGACACCACTGGCAGCCAAGCCTGGCTGCAAAAGACTAGAGAGGGCAGCAGCAACCCCGAGCAGGGTGCTCCTGCTGTTCCCAAGATCTCTGTTGAGCGCTGCCTGAAACCATCCCAACTAGACTTGCGTGTGAGCCCAGAAAAGAGACCTGTGGGTTCCTCTGAGGACAACCAGTTGTGTCAGGAGCTAATGGCTATTGTGCAGGGAGGTAAAACAGAGAAAAGAGGCATGAGGAAAGGTGATCTGGGAAAGTTTCAAAGCGGGGAAAAGAAGGTACTTATCCTGCATGTGTGTGTGCTGCTCTGAATCGCTGATTTTAACTGGTGTGTTGAGGTTTGTGCTGCTCTGCTGGCCAGGCAGAGCCAGTGGCTACCACATGTCATTTTGATGATCCTAAGACCTTCTTCCAGGGATCACCAGTGGCATTCACTGGATAGCAGATCAAAAAGTTTTAGAAGAGGGCTCAGGAGCAGTGTAGTGAAAATTATTTTAGAATAGATAATAACACAGGACTGACTCAGTTGGTCACATCTAGTGAGGTGGTTGCCCCAGATAGTGGCTATTACCAGATCAAAGTATCACACAGGTCTCGTGCCCATATACCTCACTGTGTAGAATACAGGCAAATCCTTGCTATTCAGAGATTTTCCAGTGTGCAATACATCATCTTTGGTTATAGGATTTCTTTGTTCCTCCTAAAGCCAACAACTGAAAAGCCTTGTAAATGTCAGCCTGGTGCCTAGAATCCCAAAAGATGTCCCATGTTGACCCAGGAGCCTGTGGTTTAGTGAACCTTAGTCTGGGATGTGCAGGACTAAGTCAGGGAGGCTTGATTGTTTATCTATGCTTTGAGTGGAGTTTATTACTTTTGCATTTCCAAAATGGCGTGAAAGAGTCTAGCCACAAATGAGAATTAGACCTAGTGATACTTTCCCCCCAAGTGTTTTTAGTTATATGTAGCTGTATGTTACAATGAGAGGTAATATGGGGGAAGCCTCCAGTAGCTTCTACAACATATCTTCTGCCCCCTGTCTTGGTATAGGAGATCTACCTTACTTTGCAGCTCTCAGTTGACTTGGGGTCCATTGTGGGCTACAGCCAGGCCAAACACGTTACAGCACCCCCGTGCTACCTTGTGTAAGAGGGGAAGTTTGGAGAGCTCAAAATCATAGCATTATAAATACTGTCTTGGGTGCACTGTGATAGCCTCCATGACATACTCTGTTGTTAAATAATGAGGAACTAGGATTTCTAAGATGACACATTTCACACTGGGAAATCTTATGACAAATTGTTTGATTTCTGCTTGAGTCATAACCAGAAGTGTATCGAAAGCTGTATAAAGACTGTGCTGTTTACCATCTGGATATATTTTTAGTTGCACTTTTTACAGACATAACCTGCATGTTTAAAATGGAATGAGGTGGTTGACTCGGACAAACCAACTGGAAGCTGCACTTGCCCTTGCATGGAGTTATGTTTGCTGTGTGTGCATCAAATTTACTGGATAGTAGATGCTCTTATCACTAGCAGTGATTGTGATAAGAGAGTGTGTGCCAAGCTGACCAACTTTTCTTTCTTTCAAAAGACTGCAGACTCAAAAACATTCTCTTCATCTGCTCCTCTCTCTTCCTCTGCCCTTTCCTCCTCTACTGTCACAACACAGCCACCTCCTAGACTTACACACAGAGTCAATAAGCCACAGGTAATCATCTTTGCTGATTACTCTTCCATTACTTAGAGTCATTTCTATGCCGTGCCATTGTTTTGTCATATGCTTGTTTAGCCATTCTTTGATTCCACAAGTGAGATATTTCTCCTGTCATTTAATTCAGAATTTGTATTTTTAAAAAACTATAATTTTAAATTACTTCCAGGCTGTGCAGAAGGGCAGGTATGGGCAAAATCTTCAGCTCGTGCAAATCCACATAGCTCAAGTCTGGGTTTCTGCCAGTTTGCGCCAGCTGAGGGTCTGGTTTTCTGTTCTTCCAAAGGATTAACCCAGGGCTTATTTAGCTCTGACCTTCTACAGCTCGATTGCATTATAAGGCAGGATTGGTGGTCTTA